TCCCTCAGGTGAGCCTCGCTCTCCCAGAGTTCCTTTCTGCTCTCGCTGTGATTTGGTAACCAAATGGGAGTCGGACCAGTGCTGAACTTTGACTGGGAAATCAGGAAACCAGTAAACCCCCCCCCCACCGTTTCCCAGCATGCTCAGCGAGGAGGATCAGCCAGCGACTGAAATAACCTGCCGCTCGGCTCGATAATCCCAGATTGGCAATTAGATTACAGGCTGACAGGAACTGATGATGTCATCTGATGATGTCATCACAGGAGGACAAATTAATCTTTTTACAGTGACACTGGAGGAAAACTAAGCAGGACGTCCTCACCTGTCCTCCATAACATCCCTGCAGGACGAGACGATGGTCCATCCGGCCGAGGACGCCATGACGGCCTGGAGAGATGACACCAGACTGGAGGACAGGGAGCACTGGTTAGACTGACTCTTGGTTGCCATGGTAACTGCCTGTGACCATCTACTAGGCAATATGGCCTAGTAGATGTGTGTAACTATGGCTGCCATGTCGTTGCCATAGTTACACACAGCTTTATTTCCGGTTCATTACCGGGAAGGGGGGGGGCAGCACAAAACGAGAGAATGGAAACCGGACCAGAACCAGAACCAGAACCATTAGTTAATGAAGAAACAAATCAAAACCAGAACAATCAGAAACTGAGACAAGCAATCAGACCAAACTGGACCCAATCCGGACCGGATCAGGAGGGTGTGTGCTCTTACATGGTACATATAGAGGAGCCCAGGTGGGAGTTCTGGTTCTGGTCCAGGGAACAGACTAGTGATGGTTTGGATCAGAGGAAACAACTGAATAAACAAACACAGAGAAATGGATGGAGGGGAATGCAAAGTCCTCAGTTTGCATAACAGGGATGTGTGTGTGTCTCAGTGTGTGTGTGTCACCGTGCTGAGATCACCACGGCGTCCACCTCACTCCATCCCATGAGCTGCTCCAGGATTTGCTTTGATGCCAGGAAGATTCCCGGGAAGAAAATGGAACCAGCAGCCAGCAGGCCCAGCATGCTGACCGGACCGGACCGGGGCAAGAGAGACGGGGAGAGAGAGAGAGTGTGTGTGTCAGCAGCTCAGAGAGAGGATCAGAGGGGCGGAGCTTCCTGCAGCCACCTGGAGAAGAGGAGAGGTGATGGGGGAGGAGCTAATCCCCAGGGGAGGATCAGGGCCAGTTCTGGACCGCATCAGAACCGGACCAGGAGCAGTTCTGTCTTCAGAGCTTCTCTGTTTCTGTCCCTCAGTTTCAGCCCAGAACCAGAACCAGACCCAGACACAGCATGCTGAAGCTCCACCCCCTAAATGTCAGCCAGCCAATCAGAACTCAGCTTGTACTCGCATAACTCCATCAGGTTTAATCTCTGGTTGGGATTAATAAAATGTCCCTGAATTTTAATCTGGATCCGGTGAGAATCCAGATTTTATGCAGAGCTTTAATGAGATCAGTTACTTTCATTAAAATCCTGAGCAGATTTATTTTCATAGCCATGGTTGTGTTGTCATGGCGACCGCAGTCAGTAACATTCAATTAATCAGGAGAAGCGATTTATTGAACCGCTTTAAAAATGGCCTTTAATGAAGTTTTATACAAACTTCTCAGTAAGAAGACATTTCTGTTTCCCAAAATCATTTGCTGTAATATTCTGGTCTTTAATGTGTTTTTATTTATAAGCAGAAAATCATCATGATGAAGAGAAATAAAGGTGTTAAAACTTCAGTTATCTATGTTTCACTTGATGAGTAAATGAAATAAATTTACTTTTCAATAGGAGCTTCACTGAACAGTTCTTTGTACTTTAGCTTTGAGTCATTTTATCATGACGTGCTGCTCAGTAGTTAAACTACATAAATGTCCCTGCAGAAAGAACTAACTGGTTTTAACTGCTTGTCAGAGTGAGACCTCTTGTTTCTACACCAGCTCTGTTTTAAAGGGGCGGTCTCATGGAAAACCAGCTATAAGCTTTCCATCATGTTACTCCTCATCAAAACCTGGGCCAGACCGGAACCGGACAGGAACCGGAGTGTTGAGAAATCATTTAATCTCCATGGCAACAGGATTAGATTCACATCCATCCATGGAGAAACGTTCCAGAGTGACGAATCAGGAGGAGCTGACTGGATTCTGCTCAACTATCGAGTCAAGGCTGCAGTTCTAACTGGGTAACTTTTTCTTTCCACTCAACTTTCTATGAATACTCTTAGCTTTCAGCAGTGACCTGCTGTGTCTCGTGGCCGCCTGTCCCGCCATCAGTCGTCTCCATGGCAACGTCTAGAGCCAAACTGGAGGTCAGGGTCCTTAGAGTTCAACTTAACATTTAAACGTTTCAGTCGTTTATCGGCCTCCTGATCTGAAGAAACCTTCACATTCACTTCAGGAAGAAGGCAGCAGGTACACCCGACCCGACCCGACCCGGTCCGACCCGGGTGAACAAACGACACGGCAGAACCAGCAGAACCGTCCGGTCCAGTGTCCATTTCTTTATTCACCATCACTAGTTTGATTCTAAATTCAAGTATCTGTCAGAACAGAACCAGAACCAGAACAGAACCAAACAGAACTTTGAGCTAAAATGGACAGAAACATCGGAGCCATATTCAGAATAATAAACATCGAGTTCTAAAGGTTCTAAAATGGAAAACGGGTTCTAGAGGTTCTGACCAACGCAGAGGAACCGGATTACAACCAGATCCTCCGGCTCTGTTCTGGGTCCACCAGAACCGGCCCAGTCCGTAATCCCAGGTCACAGATTTTTCCTCCAGAATCTGGAGACTGCAGGAAAGAACCAGAACTGGACCCGGAACCAGAACCAGAACCAAAGGAATCACACAAAACTCCTCCTGGAAGAGGCTGAATGAAGCGGTACCAGTTTCCATTGGACCGGTTCTGTTGGACCTCACGGGGAATAAACACACATGCACATTTACAGGAGGTTCTGGTGCCACTGTAGCCGGGCCCTCGGGTCAAACGGAACCAAGTCAGCAGCAGGTTCCTCCAGGGAGCCATGGTTCCGACACTCTGGACCCGACCCGGTTTGGCGGTTCTGATCTTCCCTTCAGACGGTTCTGACCCAGACCGTCGGCAAAGTCATTCTGCTGGAAACCAGAACCGGTCCCAGTCTTAACAGCAACCCAGGTTCTGGTTCTGGTTCTGTCATCTCAGCGGCCTGGTTCTGATGACCTGTCAGAACCACAGCCAGTCCAAATTAAATCAGGTCCGGCCCGGATCTCTGGTACCGTTTGGAGAACCAGAAGTTTTCTCATGATTTCTTCCATTTTGGTTTTTTGGGTCGTGATTTTATTTTGAAATAGAACCGGAACCAAACCAGAACCAGAAGGTCCGAACGGTCCTGCTGTGGACGGGAGGTTCTGTTGGGTCACTGGAGGAACCGGCAGCGGGTCGGGTTCTGAGACCCGGTCCAGTTGGGCGCCGGAGTGATCAGAACCAGAACTAAGCCACCAGCATTTTCTCTGATAAGTCCTGCTCCCAGAACCGGGTCAGAACCGGGTTACAAATGGAGGAGGAGGTAAAACTGGAGGAACGTTACAAAACTATCCAGAGTTCTGGTCCCGGTCCAAAAGTTCTGCAGAACTCTGAGGTAACAGGGTCCAGTTGGTACCGGTCCGAGGTTAACTTGGGTTAGATGAAAGGTTCTGGTCTCTGAGTTAATCCAGTCGTTTTTTTTCTTGATGATCCGGGTCACAACCGGACCAGAACCGGCGTGGTTAGACCTGCTACATCTGGTGAGGTTGCACTACTGTCGCCATGGCAACGCCACAGAACGACAACACAGTGAGACATGAGGAGCATTAGAGGAGGCGGGCGGGTTCTGACCCGGTTCTGACCCGTCCCAGTGCTCCAGCAGCAGCTTGGCTCCGGCGCCGGGGGCGTGTCCAGGTGGATCCGGCAGAACCAGAACAAATCAACATGAGGTCGGTCCGTTTGGGTCGTACACAGAGAGACAGAGAGAGAGAGAGAGAGAGAGAGAGAGAGAGCTAACTCGCCCGCCGGCTGATGATGATGATGGAGATCCGAAGCCTTCATCTCTCCTCCTTCCTGGAGACCTTGGAGGAATGCCACGCCGTGGACCTGAGGACCGATGACATCACATGACCCAACAAGAAGTAGAGCAATGACATCACATGACCAGGATCTGGACCCGGATCAGGATCAGGATCTGGACCCGGGTCAGGATCTGGACCCTTTGCAGTACGTCTCTGATGGACTGAACAGAGCGATTGAAATCTGTTCCCAAGCTGTTTCTGCCAGTTTCTCCTGGTTCCTGTCGAGCTCGTTTGATCCGGACTCACCTGGTTGGGCTCGCAGGATGTACAGCAGCTGGCTCAGAAACCGACCAGAACCTTGAGTTGGTCCGACTTTGCCTGAATTCACACCACATGGTTCGTGTCTCTGTCACTGTTGGCGTTTCCCTTTACACCGGAGCAGCAATAAAAACGTACGGAAGATGCTAACCTGCTAGGCTACAGGATGGTGGAGCGCTGTTTCCATGGTTACCGAGTTGCCTACCTTCTCCTTGTTGGACATGACGTTTATGGACATTAATCTTGGTACGTTGTATAAATCTGCCTGTCCTTATGAGCTGCTGTCCATCATTAAAAGTTATACAATAGGACGTCTGGTCCAGTCCTTGTCCGTCGGTGCAGCCGACCGCGCGGCGCCCTGCGGACATTTTTAAAGTGACATCACCTAACTTGAAGCGACATGAGGTGACCAGCAGCGGATTGGTGGCTTTGACGGCCGACATGGCGGAGTACTGAAGAGTGTGACGTCACGTGCAAAGGGTCCAGATCCAGGACTCCCCCCACCCAGATGACCCCAGGCGGCGGTTGCCATGGAGACCCCGCCCCCTCACCTGATGAAGGTCTTGAAGGCGGCGCTCTGGGGGTTGATGCAGAGCGGGACCCGCTTGCCCTGCTGGTGCTCTGTGATGAAGCGATGGATCAGTTCTGGAAGGACAGACGGCAGCGTCAGGCCCGGTTCTGGAGGTTCCCGGACCGGGCCCGGTTCCGACCCACCTTTGCCCTGCCACACAGACAGCAGGCTGTTCTCGTAGCTGTGGCTGAAGGGGCGCTCGGCCGCCGGCTCGAAGTCGCGCGTGTAGACGCGGCCGCCGGCCACCGAGTAGCAGCAGCGGCACATGCAGGTGTGGTAGCGCAGCCGGCCCTCGTCCAGGTACGGGTGGGACAGCGCGTCGCCGCCGGAGATCCGCTTGGCCTACACACAGAACCCGGCTGAGACCCGGAACCAGACCCGGAACCACAACCAGAACCAGAACCACTCACCGGGTCAAACACCAGCATGCGGCACAGCAGGTGAACGGCCTCGTGGGTAGCGCCGTCCGACAGCATGTAGAGCACCGACAGCGACGGCTGCAGAACCAGAACCAGAACCCATTACTGACCAAAACCAACCGGAACCCAGAGGCGTCTGATTGGCCGCTGCTCAGCTGACTGTGAGGAAGCATCACGTGCCCCAACACGGCCAACACCAGAACCCTCCGGTTCTGGTAGCATCGGCGGGCCGGGCAGAACCTCCTACCGGCTTGTGGGGTCCCCTGAGGATGTGGGCTCGGGCCCCTTCGCAGGCCAACGCCAGGGCGGACAGCGGTGGTGTTCCCAGCAGGTCCGTGATCAGGTCCAACTGCAGAGAAGAACAATCAGTTGAACCGGTTCTGGTTCTGGATCCAGATTCATTCAAAACAATCGACCAGCAGCCAAACAACAAATGGTTTCAGGCTGAGAAAATATCATAAACCTCCAATCAGCACCAACCCGGAACCACTGGACCCAGAACAGGGCCCTCTTTTCATTCATCTGCAGGGGCGCCTCCAGGAATCTTGGGCCCCCTGACAAAAAATTAAATTGGGCCCCTGTGCAGCTGCTGTTACAATTTTTTGAGTCTATGTGACCCTAAAAAGCATCACAGTTTTAAAGGCTGCATCTGCCTTGCTGCCTTTGGTTCAATGCTGATAATTAGCACAATATTTACTGCTCATGAATTTAACATCCAACAGTCCACATCCAGTATGCAGGTAGGTTGCTGAAACTTTTTCTATTAGATACTCAGGGTTTCCCCCAGTGTATTATAAGCCTGGTGGCCCGCCATGCTTTAGTAGCCTCGCCGCCAGGCTAAGCGTTGCTTGTTTACGTTTCTAGGAAAAAATAAAAATAAAAAATAAAAAAAATCGTTTTTTTTTATTTTGTTTGTTTTTCTTGGGGGGGGTTTAAAGCCAGGCTGCAAGCACCTCTTTTACTCTGAGCATTTCACTAGCAGAGCAGATTTATTCCTAAAGGATAGGTTTATAGTTTATGCATTTAAACCCGACAGCGCGGACCAATCACAGCTGGCGCCTCCTTTCATTCAAACTGGACTCAGGCTGACCTGTATGGATATTTACATCAACCTACTGTGAGGAATTATGATCCTCTGGAGAACTCTAGGTAGGAGTTTAAAACCCGCCGCGTAGCTCTGGTTGCAGCTCAATGTGAACCGCAGGAATAAGTTGTAGCGAATTCAGAGGCGGAGCGGTGAGAATGATTTATCTTTGTGAACGAACAATTATATGCGGCGTTTCCATCTCAACACGCTGCCCAGCGTGTGGCTCTGTGTCCGTCTTCCCTGTAAAGTTTATGTCTGGTCCCGGTTGGCCGGAGCGTTTGTGGATAACGAGCAGCGCTAACCTGATCATGCAGGTTCAGCCCGGTGAGGAGCTTTCGCGGTCTCCTCGGAGTCACGCATCACGCTGATTTTATATTATTTTTAGTATTATTTTTCCGGTTACACGATGCATCAAACCATATCAAATGCGTTGTCTACTTAGAGTTAATGCGCACGGCCGTATGGAGATCTGAGAAACTCGTCCCATAAACTCGACCAACCAAAACAGTTTCTGTGACGCTTATTAAAAACTCAACAGACACGAAATGGAACAGCTACTAAAGCCACATTAGCCGCATTGAATTAAATCTCCTGTTTGTTGCGCATTTCTGCGTAGTGCAGCAGATTACCTCATCATGCAGGGCCGGTCCAAGGCTGTATGAGGCCTGGAGCAGAATCTGATTTAGGGGCCCCTTTTGTTCCTAAAAATACCTCTAACAGCTTCTGTGTTAGATTTAGTGAAATATGGGAGAAGGGAGTAGTTTAATTGGCCAGCCTAAAAAGCAATAAGTTATAATCGCAGTTTACTAATTTGTATTTGTAAATTCAAAGATTAAACTCACAGCATCAGA